AATTTAGTTTTAACCAAACTGCGAGTGTTACGGAAGGTGCCAAACGAGGTCTCAGAAGTCAACCCAGGGACCTCAAAAAAGCTGGAGACTGGAAACTGTGTGATTCCCCACAAGGCAATAAAGCCCTTCTCTAGAAAATGGAGATCACTTCATGAGCTTACCTCAATTCATTATCATGGGAAATAATCAATAGAATGAGTATAGAGGAGGTTATAGGAGTGATTTTGAAATAATGATATTGAAAGGAGTTGTGCTGAAGTTGCCTAGGCTGAATGTGAGCAGTTTGTATGTTCGAAGGAAATAAAGTGATGTGACCAAGGATGTGGGCTGGGTTCACATCTCTCTCTGCTCTGCCACTTACTAGCCGTGTGACCTCAAGTAGGTTGCTGAATTCCTCATGGGAAGGACCTACCTTGCAGGGCTGTGGTAACACCTGAGGTCACGCAGGTAAGGGACCCGGTCTCATGGCTGTGGCAGAGGGATGCTCATCAAATGGCAGCGATTGCTGTTTACAGAGAAGATAAAGTGTCTTCATTGCCTTTTATAAAGTAGAAAGAAGTCCTCTCATATTTATAAGCGATTGTATTCAGGGTTATCAATAAGATGTGGGCTGAATTATCTCATCAGACGGTTAAGGGAATGTTATCTGGAAGCTTTTAAACATACCTTTGGAGGGAAGCAGCCACACAAGAATTCTGAAAATCCTACATGGCATCGAGTGAAAGAGCGCTCCGCCATCCCAGCTGGTAGGACATTCTTGGAGCAATGACAATCATCTTGACAGCGCTTGGGGACCTGCCTGTCACGTTGATTAAATAATCCAGGAGATTTTGCAAGAGCTGAAACACCCAACCTGCTCCCTGAGACCTCGCCTTCATCTCATATGTGCATCTCTTTTTGGGTGGATGCGAACAGGTGTCACTGGGTCCTGGTCGCGGTGAAGTAAGACATTTGGTTCCTGGTATTCAGGCAACAAGTATTTCCAAAGCAGCTAGTGAAACTGGGCTACAATTAGCCTATAAGTGACTTTCAAAAAACGTTTTCGTTTTGGTTGTCGTTTTGGCCTTATTGCGAATAAAACAGGACCAAGGAGCCCTGGAGCTCTCAAAAGTCTCATTCAGCAGTACCAACCACATTGCAGATAGACTATTACAGAAGGCGCTGAAATAGCCGTCTATAATAATCCATTTGGGAAGGAATTGATAAAAATCAGCATTCCTACCAATAATTCACATATTAACGGATCAGAACAAAATAGTTGTTCATTTGTTCAAAATTGTTGCATATACGAAGAACTCTCTGTTCATTCGCCCACCCCACGAAGCTGGGCTATCTGGAGAGGTCCGGCTCGGACTGGTCTTTACAGGTTGGTAGCGAGCGGGCCGGGCTCCTACCTCCGCGCACGCGCACAGAAGGCGGGACTGCAGAGCTCAGGTTCACGTGACGAGCCCACAAGGATGTGCACACCCACGGGACCATTCTCAGCAGAGTCACCCGGGAAGGCTGCCCAGCTCCCTCAGCGTTTCAGGACTTGAAAGGACCTCAGAGGTCATCTAATTGAATTTAATAAGAATCAAATATCTCTGCGAATTACTTTCTTTTAGGCGGAAACTTGTCCAAATCTGAGTCTTTTGAGGGTGAATTTAACTTTTGAAAGCAGCCAAACTTCACTCAAAGCCAAGTCTAGGGAATGAGGTAAATGGTAGGGATGGACAAATGAAAAATAAAGTGGGGCTGTAAAATGACAAAACGGGTTCGCTCCAGTGATCCACAAAGTGGTTCTGAGAGGTGATTACAAAAGCACCTAGAGAAGCAGATGTTCCTCGGAGTCCTGCTGGGTACAACCTCCCTGAGGGCAGGGGGAAGTTTATATCAGATCTTTACAAATGGGCACACCCTTTGGCCCAGAAATTCAGTTTCTAGGAATTTATCACAAGGAAATTATTGAGAACGTACTCAAAGATTTTTAACCATTAAGAAGCTTGGTGCAGTGTTAATAACAGCTTAAAAAGTGGGTGTGGCCTCAATGTCCAACACTAGGGATTGGCTAAATACAGAAAGGCACATAGAGTCAGTGAGATACTGTGCAGTCCTGCAAAATGATGCTGCTGAAATGTTTCTGTTGAGGTGGAAAACTGCTCATGTTCAATGACAAGAGCAGGTTCTAAAACAGTGTTAGGTAGGATATGACCCAGGTTAGAGAGTGTACATATGGGGAGGGGATAGAAAAGGATATGGAGAGATGTACACCAAGTTGTGAGTGGTGGGTAAGACTGTGAATATTTTCACATTCTTTTTGCTTGCCTACATATTATGATTTTTCTGTAATGAAAACCGATTTTTATAATAAAACGATAATATAAGGAAACATCAGAGAGAGGAGAAAGAGGTTCTGCTATCCTTAAAGAGGAATGATGATGCACCTGTGTTCATTTGCTAGGGCCTCTGTAACAAAGGACCACCAACAATAAATTCAACAGGAATTTATTGTCTCAAAGTTCTGGAAGTTAGAAGTCCAAGATCAAAGTGTTGGCAGGGTTGGTTCCTTCCGAGGGCTATGAGGGAGAAATCTGTCCCATGCCTCTCTCCTAGTTTCTGGTGGTTTGCTGGCAGCCTTTGGCATTCCTTGACGTCTGTTGCGTCACTCCAATCTCCGCCACCTTCACACGGTGTTCTCCCTGTGTGGGTTTCTGTTTCTGAATTTCCCCTTTTTATAAGGACATTGGTCATAATGGATCAGGCCACACCCTAATCTAGCATGACCTCATCTTAATTATATCAGCAGTCCCCCTATTTCCAAATAAGGCCATATTCTGAGTATGGGGGTTTAGGACTTCGACATATGAATATGGGGGGTGGACACAATTCAGCCAATAACAGTGCCCAGTGAGATGGCCACATTGCTCCTACGCAGCCGATGTTAGTGCTTACCTGCCACTACAGCCTACACCAGCTGCTGTATAGTAGGAGCCTGTACCAAGATCAGGGGTAGTGGGGTAGGGCGCTGACATCCCCACAGGACTCCAGGTTCAAAGAGGTAATGATGAAACAGAGAGCCCAAGCACAGCCTCCACCTGCCCGCCCAGGCTGGGGCTGCAGGCGTGAGTGAGAATTCAAATTAGCACGTCTGAACTGGGGAGACCTGTTCAGACCTTCGAGATCTGAAAGGAAAAAGTAGCCTAAAAGAAAAAAGGAAAGGATATATTTTTCCTTTTTGGTTGAATATAGGGGTTGAGATTTAAAAGATAGAATGACAGAGAGAGAAGAGAGGAAAAATATTACACAAAAATCTGCACACAGATGTTGATAGCAGTTTTATTCATAATCGCCAAAAACTGGAAGTAACCAGGATGTCCCTCAATAGGTATAAAAGGATAAAGAAACTATGGTACATCCACACAATGGAGTATATTCAGCAGTGAAAAAGAGATGAGATGAAAAGACATAGAGGATAGAGGAACTTTAAATGCATATTGCTTAGTGAAAGAAGCCAATCTGAAAGTGTTACATACTGTGTGATTCCGGATAGAGATTAAAAAAAAAAAAATACTAGGGGTTGCCAGGGATTGGGGGGAAAGGGAGGAGGGGTGAACAGCTGAAGCACAGTGGATTTTTAGGGCAATAAAATTATTCCCTATGATACTGTAACGGTGGACACGTGACATTATACATTTGTCAAAATCCATAGAATGTACAACACAAGAGTTGTAGACTCTGGACTTCAGTTAATGATAATATATCGATATTTCATCAGTTGTAACAAATGTACCTCGGGAATGCAGGATGTTAATAACAGGGGGAAACAGTGTAGAAGGTGGAGTGGGAAGAGGGTATATGGGAACTCTCCCTGCTCCATTTTTTTCTGCAAACTTAAAACTGCCCTAAAAAAAAGAAAGCCTATTAACTGAAAAATCAAAACCAAAAAGATACATCACACATAAAGAGATATAGAAGAGATCATGCACTCAGCTACCCAAAAGGGGCCCCTGGCAGATAAAAGTTTGAGCAACTGGCAGAGTTAGCTGTTTGTCAGAGGCAGTTGAGAAGATACAGATGACCAAAGTGTGACCCAGCAGGATCTCCAAGATGCAAACAACTTTGGCCGCTCACACCTATCTCAGACGCAACAAAGCTCTTCTAACTGCCCTGAGAAGTGGTGGGGTTTGGGGAGGGGCAGAAGAACCAAATTCTTATTCAAAGAAATAACAATTTGGACCGCGCACTAGAGTGTCAACAACTTATGCAGATCTTATCAGCATCACATTTTTTGGTGCCTCCCAGCTATTCAGCGAGGCTCCACCAGCCTGTCAACACCCTTCAACATCCCACGCATCCGCATGCATCCCGCATCCCCGGCATATCCACACCACAGGAGGCTCTGCCGCGGCCAGGCCTGCCTTCCCAGGGCCCCATGGAGCGCAGATTTTCTCTCTCCTCACAGGATACCATCATACCGTCCCCTCGGTATGCAAGGGTGTACTTGGTCCATTTCTGGACTCACATTCTGTGACTTGCTTGAGGCTACATGTCTATAAAATTGAACAATACATTTATGCTAACTTTGGAAAGCTGGAAAAAAATCTGATGTTCTCACATCTGGAGGAAGACAATGTGTAGTTTCAGTAATGTGAGGAGAAATGATGCAAAACTCATCATCAAAGAATGACAGGCTTCTACTAGGCGTTTTCTACATTTGCGGATAAAACATTGTGATTTTACAAAATTATGGATAAGGCACGAGATTTATGGAGACTCCTCTCTCTCCACCTCTTCCCCCAGACACACAAAACTAAAGCCTTCGTAGTATATGCATTGCTCCATCATAATACAGCCTCTTAAATGTAGTTTTGTTAAATGATACAGAAAAGCATTTATTTAGACTAATGAAAATGATAGCCTTTACTATATATCAAAGCTTTCTTTTACCATTACGTACCTATTTATTACATGAAAGTCAGTAACTGGATCTCTTTGTCTGTGTGTTTTGTTTTCGTTTTTAGGCAGCTTTAAGTGCCTTGAAACAATTTTCTGAACAAGGACTGGATCCAATGGAAGGAGCAATGAATATTGAAAAAGGTTCTCTTGAAAAGTGAGTACATCTTCTGTTGTATTCTTACATTTGTAATTTTGTAACTGTATGAAAAATAAGATAGACATAATAATAAGGTGAAAAACTCAAGACAATAATATCTATACCCTACAAAATTATTCCTAATACAATTCAATGCAAATAAATGAGAGACAGTCTATATGGTCATGTTTGTTTCCTGTAAATATGTCTGTGAAAGTTTTAATCTACTGATTGATCATGATTTCTGCATTTTAATGCCTTTGCTGGAAATATTTCTGTGGGTTTTGCTGACCACGGAGATTTGCAAGACTTGCAAAAGGTGAATTCTCATTTCAGACTGTTGAGCATTCTCTGACTAAACCATTTTCTGAGGCAAATATTTTCATTCACATTCCTGGGGAAAAAAAAAAAAAAGAAGCTGAGAGGAAGGTTCCTTCCCCTTGGCTGCATTTTGTTTTTCACATTGTTGTGTGAAACACAAGCGCACGTTGTCACAAAAGTGTGGCTCCCGAGGGCTACAGAGGCCAAAACGCAGATTTAATAAGAATTTCTGAAATCCAGCTCATACCTCTTTTATGATATTGAACATAAGGTTTGATCTGAGAGACTGAACTTAAAGTCTCTCCAGAGACCCAAAAAGAAATTGCAAGCCATTGTATTTACATCAGTGGAATCCAAATTCTTTCAAAGCAGAAATAATAGCAGATGAGATTTCAGGACTCACACAGGAAAAAAATTGGATAACCTAGGAAGTCAAAACCAAATATACTAATCCTGTAGTTAAATAATCTTAACCGCGCCCGCCCCACGCCCCCACGCCCTTTGGTAAACAGACGTGGCATTTTAAGTTGTCTATAGATTGGCAACCATTTATAAGCTAATTTAATCAAAACCATTTCCACATGATCTCATCAGTAGACTATCTGAACATAAATATTGTTGTTTCACTTTAAAATGTCACTTTTGTGGTGACCTTTGAATCCTGTGTGCCATCTGCTAATAAACATGTCTGAAGATGTGCAACCCCGGACCTTCAGCTCTTGTTAATGTATTAATCTTCCAGACAAGCCCAGCATCTGGGAGAGAAAGCAGACAATAACCAGACACACCCGGGCTCCATCGCTCAGGACTGCAAGAAATCAAGGTCGGTCATCTAGCAGCTCCCAGAGCTACGGCTGCCACCGCATCCTTATAAACCTGTCAGCACGCATGAGGGTGTCTGTGTTCAAGGAAATGAATGACTAATGCCATGATTTGAGTCTTATGTGAAGACAGCACTATTCTAACACCAGAGATAATAGACATAGTATTGTTTATTCAACTGGGGGAAAATAAAACTTTGAGCATTTCCCTTGGAACTTGAGATCAGATCATAACTCATTTGCCCAGAGGCAGCAGAAATCTGATCCTGCTACTGGAGCTTAAAATAACAATTAATGAAAAGTGTTAGAAACAGAGGTACAATTCTTAAATGATTAATAGAGAAATTGGGTTTGGTTCTGTTGTTATGATTGTTTTGTCGTGGCACTTGTGTTCACTTATATTCTCTCTCATTTTAAATAATGCCTGACGATTCAAAGATTAACCAATGATGTGCTGTGGAATGTGACGGTCGTTGTCTTCATATAGAGTCACACAGTTTCTCTTTTTATGCAGATATTTGTAATCTTCATCCTATATCAGTCTGAATAACTTCGAGGCACACCACTCAAAGATGTATGCCAACAAACATGATTGAAATCAGGTCAGACATTTGATTACAAATATGAAATAATATTAGGAACAATTAGTTTCAATAGACTCCAGGAATTCAAAAAGGAAACAAAAACCACTTGTGGGTCTTGAATGCCATCATCCTATTAGCCACTAAGGAGGCGTCTTGCCTCTCCAGCCATTTCTGTGGATTCCACGTTCACAGTGGACATTGCACCCACCCCATCCGTGTGTTGTAAGCCACTCACTGTTTGCATCCAAAGTGTTTTCTGATAACTGCCTCTGCACTTGGGACAGTGAGTGGGATCAAGAGAAATAGCGTTCATGGCGGGGAAGGGAAAGCCTGTGGCTGTGGGAGGAGCCGTAGAGGTCCTGCCAGCTTGTAGCCAGCCACGCTCTGGACCCAGCATGTTGGAATCCAGCGTGGAGCCAATGCAGTAAAAATGTGGTCGGTGTCTGTGTGAAGTGTGGTCAGTGTTGTTCTTTCCTTGCCTCGTTCTCCTCTCTGAAACATCACCCCAGCGAAACCCGTCTCAAAGGCCATTGCCCACCCGGCCCCTGTCACCCTGCACAGCGGTGACACTAGCGGGTTCTCGTGCCACCGGCCGTCTCTGCGAAACCGCAGGGCCGCCTCCCGGGTGACTCAGAACCGGGTTCCTGACCAGCCAACGTCGTCTCATGGTTCCTGTAAGATTTCACGAGCAAAACACCACAAATCATGATCTGGCTGACTCACACGCGACTGGACGATAAACAAACAGCAACAGAAGGAAATCACTCTAGGGTTGTTTTTAATGACTCCCATGTGGGGAAGTCCGCCAGCATCCACAGGGCCGGGTGCCCTCGGAGGAAATAGGTTTTGCTCCATAAAGCTGGGCCCTCGTGGACATAACAGCCCATTTGTAAAGTTGGGGTTCACGAAGATCAGCCGGGTTGAACAATAAGTCTGCTGCCCGGCACCCCGCGCAGAGGGCCCTAAATCATCCCCTCGGAAGGGGGCAGAGGCCCCTTCTTCCCCCTGGGCCTTCAGCACCGGAGGCTCCGGCCCTCAGTCGGCAGCGCCACTTCAGGCAGGATCTTTAAACCGCATCTTCAGTTTCCCAAACGCCGTAAAACGCCGACCACCTCTCACGGCCCACGGTCCCCAAAACACCAAGGCCGTCGGGGCCGTCGTGGGAGAGGGATGAGCTCAGGGCACAGACAAAGCTAATCAGTTCTCACAACCCAAGTATCTGAGGCATTGGCCTCTGGAGCTATCTGACGGAGTCACCCTCAGAGCTGAGCGTACCAGAGTGGCCACAGGGGTGGGGGAGGGGGGGAGGGGATGGACCTTTGCAGCGGATCTCAAGTTTAGTGAGAGGATATTTATTCAGAATCCCACCCATCTACCTGCTTGAAGAGCCCGGGGAGGCCTTTAGATATTTTCCCTTTAGAGAGTTTGCTAGCAGCCCTTCCTGGGAACCGTTTGGGTTTGCTTTGGGTTGGATTAGCAGTGCAAATGATGGGTGGCCTGCCATCCCTTGCCATGTTATATATCATTGGGGGAAAACCATTAAGTAGATTTATTGAAAGAATGTTTCTTCAACACAAGGAGATCTTTTTGATGAAAAATGGAACTCCTTATTCTCTAAAGGACACAGGTTGACTTATCTCCTTTATCAGTTACAGTGCCTGCTTTCAGCTTTTCTCATTCAGCACTAGGCTTTGTAGTCACTTCCCAGTGCTGAGGCCAATGTGTTTTATGAAAAAGGTTGGTTTTTGCATTTTAATTGGAAATATAATATTGTGCTTTGGAACTCTGACCAACCCTTTCCAGCACAACTTGCCAAAGATCAGTGGTGAGACGCCACCCTTCAGGCTGTGACAAGGACCCTCCTCCACTTTCCCGGGTGACCTCTCTGAGTTACCCTAGTATTCTTCTGCCCAGCAAACATTCTCAATGGTGATTTTTTTTTGACAGCTTCAACCAATTTCCTGTACCATAAAATAAAAATAGATCAACGAGAAACTTACCTTGTTACATGGAGGTTTTCGGGACTCCCAGTGACCTTGGAAATGTGGTCCAGACCAATTGATTGGTGTTTAAATCCTGCTGCCGTTGAGTTTTCAGTGCACCTGCCCAGGGTTTGTTCTGTACTTTTCAAGTTCCAAAGGCCACTTGTTATCATTACGGCAAGGGTGGTAGAAAACCTAACAGTTTTGCACACGGAGCAAAGAAGTCATTAATGGCAAGATCCCATGTGAATTTGTCTCAGAGTAACCCCCGACCTACCCCACCATGATATAGGTACCTGACAAATGGATACATCAAATAAATGAATAAGTGGACAAATGAATGATCTATCAAAACGATAGAGAAACCTGCTGAAGACATAAATTTGAAATCTCACTGCTTAACCTGACACAGAGATAGGCACTCATGATAATATATGGCATTACTGTTGATAAGATTATGGTACCTTCAACCTCAGGGGTACTCTGGCATTTCTTAACCAAAAACATAGCGAGTCAAAAAAACCCTCACTTCAGAGGACTTTGGACCCATGAAGACCCACCATCCTGCCTCCCATCTTCCCATTTTTGCATGTATATCCCTTCCCCAGGCCAGAAGATTCAATTCCAATCCTCACCCCCAGATACGTTCTTGTATTTCCACAATCACAGATACATGTCTCACAAGGAGGGGCATTGTAATATCTGGCTCAAAGCAAAGATTTCTTAGACTGAGTCAAACCCAGCTGTTGATTTCTGGCAGACACCACCCAAGTTCCATCTCACCTTGCCGAAACTCATTGATAAATTGCCTTGTTGGGATGACTTTCCTCTTACATTCTAACCTCTTAACATAACTAAAAGCTCCCTTGACTGGATGCCCAGCACACTCTGATGTATGCTGGGAATGCAGAAAATAAATAAACAAATGAAACTATTTCCCTCTCAGGAATGCACATTCTAGCTTGAGGGAAAGGCAGACCAGGAAATGAGCATGAGAGGTGAGCGTGTTTTACTTAGAACCCCTGCATTATAGCTCGTTGTTTGTGTCTCTGAGTCGTTATTCCTCCCCTCACTCATCTCACTGTGCTTTCGGCACCATGCTGTATTCTGGTGACACTGTCAAAAAGCCACCACGCTTGAACTCTAGTAGTATATCTTATCTCACCTCCACACAACCCACACGTCTACTGACCGGACCCACCCCCCAGCCCCAAATATACATATACCAGGTGAAGCTCTTGAAACTCACCTACACTCAAGGCTGACCAACTGAATTTACCCCTCGTTGTATCTCCTGGTGTGCAATGGTGCCCACCTTAATATGGTAAGTACTCAATAAATGTTTGTTGAGTAGATGAATGACCCTAAAAGCCCTGCCATGGTGGGTTTGCCAGCCTAAGCAGATCAGTGGTGACCTGGACGCATGGACAGAGAAGCCTGGCCTATTGGATGGAGCCTCCTGCCTGGGAATAAACTTCTAGTTCCACTTCTGTTAATGTATAGTCTTTCTGAAGTCATTTAACATCTTCGAGTTTCAACTTCTCATCCAAAACAGTAGGAATAAGAATGTGCAGTAGATGGTCTATTCTTTAAAGTGTACAAGTTATGAATGTAGATTCAATATTTCAGAGTTAGAGGGTGTGAGGGAAAGAGCCATGGTCTAGGAGTCAAGAGTCTAAAGTCCTGGGTCAGACACAGAGGTGACCTTGGCAAGGGTTTTAGCCTTCCTGGGCCTCAGTTTCCACATCTAGAAAATGACAGCCTCTAAGAGCATTACAGCTCTAAATTTATATTACCATTAATTCCTCTATTACTAGTGGTATGCTTGAATTCACATTTTGCCTCTAATATGTGAATCTTTTAAATCAAATACCTGCAAGGAAAATTATCAGTTAGGATTCTTTGGCTGTAAATTATAAAAACCTATTCAAACCAGCAATGGAAAATGTGTTCTAAAGCTACAGGGGCATTTTAGAGAAGCTCAGGGAAGAAATGCAGAAATTAACTGGACCCAGGAAGTACGAGGCTGTGGGGAAACCAGGAAGCTTTCCTTCTCCCTCCATCTCAATTCCCCACCTCCCTCTGAATGTGTGAATCATTTCTCTCCACACCAGCTCCTGCCTCTCAAGTACACATACCAGAGAAAGTGGCTACCAGTAGCACCCAAGTTTACAGCCACCTGAAGGAGCATTGAATCTCTCTCTGGATTTCATTCCCGGGGTTGTAGGAAGGAACTCCTGACTGGCTCACCTTGAACCTGATTGATTGGTTCACCCCTGACCCACTCGTACAAATAAGGCTGCCCCAACTCTGCCCCTCCGGAATAGGGCAGAGTAGTCATCAGAGAAGGGAGTTTGGGGAGAAAACCCAATAGGTGCCTGCCTCAACTACCTCCCAGGGGACAGAGCGCATTATAATCATGTGCTAGTCCTTCCTTTCAATGTAAACA